AATGAAATGCAATCAGAAAAACAACATATGAACAAAATGAGAGGTCTAACAAAGGAATGGATATAAAAATAAGCCAAACAGAAATCCTGGAGCTTAAAAATATAATGACTAACCACAAAAATGCAATAAAGATAAAGAAAATGTGGCCTATATATGCAATTAAATATGATTCTTTAGAAAGAAAACCATGCTATTGCAACATGAGGACGTTATGCTAAGTGAAATGTCAGTTACGTAAAGACTAATACTGCATAATCTCTCCCATAGAGACCAAACTGATGGCTGCCAGAGGAGAGGAGAATTGGGGCTGGGTGAAAAAAGATGAAGGGATTTAAGAAGCACAAATTGGCAGTCATGAAATAGTAATGGAGATGGAAAGTACAGCATAGGGCATATAGTCAATAATATTGTAATAGCTTTGTATGGTGCTAGGTGAGTACTACACTTACTAGGGTATTACTTCATAAATTACAAAATGTCTAGTCACTATGCTGTATATTCAAAGCTAATATTACTAAACTGAAAAGTTGTTCATGTGGAAAGTAACACAATAATTAATAAAATAATAATACAAGAATAAACTTTTGTGTACTCACAACTGTAAACCTACTTTTGCCAACAGTTTATAACATCCAAAATCAGCTGTAAGTTAAATTTTTTTAATTTAAAAAATCATATTGCATAATTAAGGTTTTATATAGAAACTTAAAAAAAAAAAGCTAAACACACAGTAACAGAGTAGAATGGTGGTTACCAAAAGCTATGGAATGGGGGGAAGGGAAGATAAATAAAAAATAAAAAGTAGAGTGGCAGTTGCCAGGGACTAAGGGGAGGGAGTTATGGGGAGTTTAATGGGTATAGAGTTTAGTTTTTATAAAATAAAAAAGTTTTTCACTGGCTGGTGTGCTCACTGATTAGAGCATCAAACCTCAGACTGAAGGGTTGAGGTTTCAATTCCTAGTCAAAGGCACATACCTGGTTGCAGGTTTGATACCTGGCCCTGGTTGGGGTGAGTGCAGGAGGCAGCCAATCAATGTGTCTTTCTCACACTGATGTTTCTCTCTCTCCTCTTTCTCTCTTCCCCTCTCCCTTTCACTCTATTTAAAAATCAATGGAAAAAATATCCTCAGGTGAGGATTAACAAAGAACAACAACAGCAGCAAAAAAAAAGTTCTGAAAGTGGATGGTGGTTATGGTTGTACAACAATATGAATATACTTAATACTACTGAACTATACACTTAAAAATGGTTAAGATAGTAAATTGTATGTTATGTGTACTCTACCAAAATAAAAACTTGCGAAAAACGGGAAAGACAGAAACACTAAACTGAAGGGGGAAATGTGCATGTTATATTAGCAGTACACACTGATATGAAAACACAAGAGACATAAAGATCAGATCTAGCTGATTCATACAGAACACCATCATGGAGGACATGGTAACTGAGGCAGAGTTGAATGAAAGTGGAAATGAGCAATGGTTATTTCAGAAGTAGAATGTATGATCATCAAAGGCAGGGTAATGTTTTAAAGAGTCATGAAGTAGAATTAAAATTTAAAAGGGTTTTTTATTGTTAACACTATTACAGATGTCCCCCAATTCCCCCTTTACCCACCTCCAAGACTTTGACAACAATAGTGTTTGTACTTTACTATATAAAGCCTATTGTATGCAACAGAGAAATGGAGATCATAGGAAGGGATTTTAACAGATTACATAGTGTCAGAATTGGTTTTCAAAGAAAAATGTTGATACAGTGGAGATGATGTATACCATGAGAGAGTGATCAGAAACTAGGGAATAAGCTTCTCATTAATCAAAAAGAGAACAATGAAATGAGAATACATCAGATGGAGCCAGAATTTCTTTGGGGATAGACAGCATTATCTTCTCTCTCATAACAACTCAAAATTGTCTGAATTTAGAAGATAAAAAATAAAAACTAGAAAAGGAAATGAAGAGGATAAAGATGTACAAATTTCCAGTTATAAAATAAATCATAGGGATGTAATCACAGCATAAGGAATATTGTCAATACTATTGTAATAATTATGTACAGTGACAGATGATTACTAGACTTATGGTGATTGCTTCATAAGGTATATAAATGTTGACTATGTTGTACACATGAAACTAATATAATATTGTATGTCAATTATAATTAAAAATAATTTTTAATAAAACTGACTGTCTAATGTATTCAATTGTACATCAGTCTTTTTCTATCTATACTCAGGAAAGCCATGATCTATGGCATGTCCTGGTACTAACAGGTCTCCTCCATCATTACCCAGGAAGGGAGACTCAAAGAAAACTCTAGATCTTGAGCTCTACCTGGATTCTGTTTTCTCATGAGAATGTGGAGTTTTCTTCACCTTCCTCCAAACGATCTAAAACCCAGGAAAGCCCTACTCCAAAGACTCTATCTATTTATCATTAGCTATAGGTTGGAAGGAGAATCTAGCTGGGTTGGAAGAAAGCTGATGCTGTTACCTACATGTATGGACACTGTCAACAAACAGAGTTGCTACCACAGAGTCTAATGTGTCTATTTCGGGATCTTCTTCATCTTTTGATAGTTGTAAGAATGCTCAACTGCATCATGATTTGCTTATTTACATTAAACAATGCAGAAGAGTTGCTAATGACAGTTACCCAAGAAGTCACACTTTGAAGTTTATGGTATAAACTTAATATTTTCATGCCTTCTGAAGAGGGTAGAATCAGTATCATCCTCCATACAGATCCCTTTCCCTTCAGGATATTGCTCTAACAGCTCATGAGACCTCCCTTCCCCTGAGCTACAAAGCTATATCTGGTATGGTGACGTTTTCTGCAGATGCAGCAGGGAGGAACAAATTGTTAGATGAACTTAATGGCCCATGGGCCCATGTTTATGTCTGAAGGCTACAGGGATTCTGGGTCGTGCCTAGACTTAGGGATATCCCCACTTGTCTATAAAGACTTTCTCCATGTGACAGGACAAACGTGGGACCTGGAGGCTTGCAGGGGCTCCAGTCACCATGTTTAAGCACCTGGGCTTATGTTGAGATATTGCTCAAAGTGAGGACTGGAAGAGGAAATAATAGAAAGGTAAGGATGCATGGGCAGGGGAGATGAGATGCTGCAGAGAAGAGTCAGTGGGGGAAAGAGCTAGTAGCTAAAGGAAAAATAATAACTTCAATGAATTCACTGTGGGTGGCCACTAACTGGGAAAAATCTCTAACTATTATCAATTGAGCTTTTGAAATGAACCTTGGGACTGAGCTCTTTGTGAAGGTGCATATCTAGAAAAAGATAAACTATTACCTTGCCCTCCAGGAATGATCCTTGAGCTTATTGACCCCACTTCCTGCCATTGTTTGTGGCACACAGCTACAGCAGCAAGAAAACAAACATTCTAACCCAAACAGTGAGAGGGTGGATGTCCTGTTGAATTTGAACCCCACTGTCAGAGTAGAGTACCCTTGGCCACTGCCCTGGAAATTCTCTTTAGCTAATAAAATGGCATGTGTTGAGAAATAGCCACCTTAAAGAAGAGGATGACTCTGGACTGTATGTCTCTTGATGTTATCATCCTGTTTCCTCAGACTCTCCAAGTAAATTTCTACAAGCCCTCTGATTTATCAGCCTGGTTCCTCCCCTAAATACTGGAAAGCACATTGACAATTTTCTCTCCAGCTTCTTTGAATACCAGAAATGCTCTTTTTCTTCCTGTGTGGAATAGAGGATTTTAACTCCCTTGCCTGGGCATTTCTACTGTACAATAACTACCTGGCAAAGGTATATGCAACCACATACATAATAAAACTTCTCTCTCTCTCTCTCTCTCCTCTCTCTCTCCTTCTCTATCTCCTCCCCTCTGATTTACACACACACTCACACACGTATACACTCACATAAACACACACTTATACAAATACTGATTCTATTCAACAGCTAATTTCTAAAAAAAATTGGACATCATATCTTCATATGGCAGTTTGAGGGATGTTAAAATGAATATCACCTGGTTCTTTGCCCCCAATCGCAACATTTCTGTTAGTAGACAATAAGTAAATATATAAATGAAGTCATGTCATGTTAGATGCTTCAGAGTTGTACAAAATCCTAGAGACACACAAAATTATAATAATTTTCTTTATTACGGGAATTGAGGAAGATTCACAAAATTGTAATTTCAGTGTCACTTAAACTTGCTAGATATTTGATCTATTCATACCCAAATATAGGCATAATTTCAGGACATAGGTATGATTATATGTTAATTATTGGTGTTATAGGTTGTAAGAAAGATGGACATGATTTAATTGATAAACCAAGGGTAATTTATTGGAAGAACATCAGGGAATCACAGAATAAACAGAAGTCTGGAAATATGGGATTAAAAGCCAAGCCATTCCATAAGATTAGGAAGCATCAAAAATAGTAACCTCTTTTATGTTGTATGAATACATCATATCCATGAGGTAAATCCCTACTTTATATTATGTCAAAACACAAACAATGGTATAAGTCAATTGTTCTCATTTTAACTTAGGACTCATTTTTTAAATATATTTTTTATTGTTGATAGTATTATAGCTATCTCCCATTCCCCTCTCTCCCCCCATAGACTTAGGAGTTTTTAACACACACTGTCTTTGAGAACCACTGTGTATAGTACTTTCCAAAAAGTAACCAAATGGACACTTTTAAAAAGGAATGAAAGGAAATGTAAGTATACCCTACTTTTTGAAATATTCACAATTCCTTCAATATCTCAGATATTAGAAAAAATAAAGCCATGGACATATTACCTATAATGTATATTGAGAAAATTGATCAACTATACTCTGGGGGAAAAAAGAGAATCTCTAATGTTTGTAAATTAATTGCTTCTACCATTCTTTCCAGCATACTGGTTAGAGGCCTTTTCATCTTTCTAGGATCTTGATAAGAAATTATCTTAAAGAAGTGAGATCCTACTCCATAACAGAAATTCAATGACACTTGCTAAGAGAATGTCTTCTTTCAATGATACCCAGCTCCATCCCCCCTTCTTTCTCCTGCTAGGAATATCAGGACTAGAAACTGTGCATATATGGATTGCTTTCCCATTCTTTATTGTGTACCTGATCGCCTTAGTGGGGAACATCACCATTCTCTTTGTGATCAAGACTGAACATAGTCTCCACCAGCCCATGTTCTACTTTCTGGCCATGTTGTCTATGATTGACCTGGGTCTGTCCACATCTACCATCCCCAAAATGCTGGGCATCTTCTGGTTCAACCTCCAAGAAATCAGCTTTGGTAGTTGCCTAGCTCAGATGTTCTTTATCCACATGTTTACAGGCATGGAGACAGTTCTACTGGTGGCCATGGCTTATGACCGCTTTGTTGCCATCTGCAACCCTCTCCAGTACACAATGATCCTCACCAATAAAACAATCAGCATCCTAGTCTCTGTTGTTGTTGGAAGAAATTTTCTCCTTGTGACTCCATTTGTGTTTCTCATTCTGAGGCTGCCCTTCTGTGGACATTACATCATCCCTCACACATACTGTGAGCACATGGGTCTTCCCAGGCTGGCCTGTGCACCCATCAAGATCAACATTATCATTGGGTAATGGTGATTTCTAATATCATTGTAGATGTGATCCTGATTGCCTCTTCTTATGTGCTTATCCTTCAAGCTGTTTTCCGCCTTCCCTCTAAGGAAGCTCAACTAAAGGCTCTTAATACCTGTGGTTCACATGTCTGTGTCATGCTGTGCTTTTACACACCAGCATTTTTTTCTTTTATGACACACCGCTTTGGTCAAAACATTCCACATTATATCCACATTCTTTTGGCTAATGTATACGTGGTTGTCCCACCTGCTCTTAACCCGGTCATTTATGGAATCAGGACCAAGCAAATTCGAGAGCGGGTTGTAAAGATATTTATACAGAAATAATATTTGTAAAGATTGGGGAAATATATCCACATACTACTTATTGTTAATCTGAGCATTGTATTAAATTTTCTATTATATTGGATTGTAGTGTCCAGATTTTTCATTTTTATTGAAAGTGGTTTGGGATTGACAGATAGAGCAAAGCTACTTTTGCTGCCCACTCTGCTCACCCACCCTCATGTAACTGCACGAATGGAAAAGGAAGATATTCAAGAGGCAGCAGTGTTTGGGGAAGAGAATGGCTGGTGGAAAAGGGTGTGAACTCTTCCCATTTCTCCATATGGCTTTTCTCTAAATCAGTTTAGAGCCTGAGAAACACTGCCCTAATGAATAAATAGAATTTGGAAATGCTAGAAGTAAGATGATTTATATTGTTCTGAAAGCTATTGTAAGTAATTACAGTTTTATTGTAGCAGAATTGAAATGTCCAGAAATGATCTATTTTGACAATAAAAAAATATAAAGAGATGGTTTATGAGACTAAACAGAAAAGGAAAAATGCCTGAACACTAGAAAGAATCTTTACGTACAGTGATTGAACAACAATCAAATATATAATTATTTTTACCCATTAATCTGTTTTCATTAATAAATTATTATATATCACATAGATCCATGAATTTTGTAATACATTTTTTTAGTCAAATGGTCAGTGACCTCACAAAAATATTGGTCCCAGGCCTAATATACAGTGGTAGTGGAGTGGGAAAAGACATGTAATGAATATAGAGCCACAGTTGTCTAATAATTATTCACCTTACTGTCTCTCTTTTTGTTCATAGAGTTCCCTTAGAAGAGATTTAAATTCCTTTTTATCCTGTTAGACAGTTATCTAAAATAATACGTATTTTTTAAAAATCATGTGGACAAATACACTTTGAAATCAAAACTAGCATGTTTTCCTTGGGGATTAAAATTTTTTAAAAGATGGAATAAAATAGTCATGTAATTGCCATCCATGTTCTATGTTTGTATTCCTAGATACTCTCACACAATTTTAGAGTATTCTCTCCCTAGGGCCTAAAGTAGGATAAAGGGGGGAAAAACTCGTATGCCAGGAGTATTTTTATATGTTTTATAAGATTTATGGGTATTGAGGAAAATATTGAGCTTTCTAAAGCTTTAACTGATAATGAAATTTAAAAACTTGATACAAAAATGTATAGCCAGATATATCAGATTTTGTAGAGAATCCTATATAATAAAAGGCTAATATGCAAATCGACCAAGCTGCAAAATGACTGGTCGCTATGACATGCACTGACCACCAGGGGGGAGACGCTCAACACAGGAGCTTCCCCCTGGTGGTCAGTGCACTCCCACAGGAGAAACACCACACAACCAGAAGCTGGCTGAGTGCAGAAGCCAGCTGGCAAGTGCAGCGGTGGTGTCGGAAGCCTCTCCTGCCTCTGTGGTAGTTCTAAGGATGTCCAACTGGGCCTAAGCCAGTATGTCTGGGCCTAAGCCATCAGTCAGACATCCCCTGAGGGCTCCCACTGCAAGAGGGCACAGGCTGGGCTGAGGGGATTCCCCCCGCCCCCCAGTTCATGAATTTCCTGCACCAGGCCTCTAGTATTATAAATAATTAAGAAGAGGCATTAACGTTTTTTCTTTAAATTCCTTTATTACAAAACAAATCAAGGCTCCCTGGAGAGAAGATGGTTATTAACTTTGGAGTTATATACATAAAGATATATATGTAAAATATCTTGAAAACTTAAGTTAGCCTTCCTGATAACTCACATGAGATCTTCTGTTATTTGTTCAAGAATGTAGATGATTTGACCATTACAAAAAAATGCTAAAATGACAAGCACTTGTATTGATTTAGCTTATATTCATTGAGCCTAATTAGTGTGTTATCTAACTCATGGGAGAAGCTTAGTAAATGTAGGTTGGGTCAAGGAATATTTGCTTGTCATATGAGCATTACTGACATCTAGTGGTAAAATTAAATACATTCTTAAACGAATTGTTTATATGAGCAATCTAGTGAACTAAAAAGTAACTAGAGTTTTTCTATTGAAAATCCACACCAAAAAAACACATCTGTTTCATATAAGTAATAAAGGTGATATCAATTTTAATAATAGTTTGGATCTGTTTTTAAATGCTGCTATTTTAGTTAAATGCATTTTCTCACTTAATGGGGGGGGGGGGGGCATGTGAAATGTGTATGGTCATTTTCATTAGCCTTTTGAATCTATAGGAGTAACATAAGCCTCAGAGAAGTTAAGATATGTGTTCAACATCGCTCAGCTATTACCACAGGGAAGATATTTGTTTATTATTTAATTTATAATAAACAGTTGCTGGGTACTTTCTAGGCATTATCCTATTATATCACTAAAAACAATCCTATTCTATCTAATAAAGAGGTAATATGCAAATTGACTGTCACTCCAACACACAAGATGGCCACCTCCATGTGAACACAAGATGGCCAGCAGGGGAGGGCAGTTGGGAGGGACCAGGCCTGCAAAAGAGGACAGTTGGGGGTGACCAGGCCTGCAGGGGAGGACAGTTAGGGGTGACCAGGCTGGCAGTGGAGGGCAGTTGGGGGCAATGGGGCAGGCAGGGGAGCAGTTAGGTGTCGATCAGGCTGGCAGGGGAGTGGTTAGGGGGTAATCAGGCTGGCAGGCAGGTGAGCAGTCCTGGATTGGAGAGGGTGCAGGCTGGGCTGAGGGACACGCACACACACACACACACACACACACACTCACACACACACACCCATGCACAAATTTCATGCACCGGGGCTCTAGTAAGTCAATGTAATTTTTCTCATTTTGCCTGTAAGAAAATCAAGGCTTCAAATGGCAAATTAAATTGGCCAAGGTCACAGAACAAATAAGTGGACAAAAAAGTCATGTTCTTAGTATGTATGATAAGCTGGTTTTCCTTTGTGTAATTATATTTATCTTCATGTTTTTATTAATATTATACATAATATTCAAAGCACTATATTCTCACAACAAATTATCTAATGCAATTCTTAAAACAGGGATAGCTCAGGATTTGGAAACTTACATTAGAATTGTGGCTCTGCCATTTACTGAGTGTACATATATTTCTGAGGAGATAGTGGGGTTTTTCTATGGTGCTCTTGCCCTGTGTTCACTGCCTGCCTTTCATAAGTAGCTATTCAGGTGGTACCTTAGTGAGGTTTAAAGTATCGGCCATTATGCCTCTGACTGACTAGACTCCTGGGACTTATTTGGGGAGGATACTTGCTGCATGATGCAAATTCCAAATCATCTATAACCAGAAGGTATCTCTGACCAGAATCATAGAGCTTGATCCTCAGGGATATGGAAATTTTCTGCCCAGGGACACAACCCACTGTGTGGAGATCCTTCCCAAGGGACTAGAGTTCAGTATAACTCCTTGGCCCTGGCTATTGAGAATGCAGTCACATTCAGGTTGCAGTCTGTGGCATCCGATTGCAGTTCTTCGCAAATGATTTCTCCGATGCTGGGCAGAGGTAAGTGAGTCAGCTCCTGGTTGTGCTGAAGGAGGGTTCACAGTGAAAGTAACTAAAGTGATTTGTGTGAGTGATGGAGCTCCTGTGAATCGGCCAGAGTATTTAGATAGAGCCATCTCCAAGCAATGTAGCCAAAGAGAAAGGAGTTATGTTGACAATAACTAGATTTATCACCGCATGTCATTTGCTAACACAGAAGCCCACAGTAAAACACAATAAACAGCTATCAACAAACCCAGGAACATGCATGGAGATACAGATATATGAATAAAGAATGTTGTTTGCAAACACGAAGGGAAATACCAATGCTAACTCTTATTAGCTAGCACAAATGAGGCCTTTTCTTCCCTGCTTACTTCTATTTTGTCACCTCAGAAGAGAACTTCTCACACTGGGCACAGTCATCCCAGTAGGAGGAAGTTCCAGTATGTTTAGAAATGGGACATAGAGGGTTGAGAGATGGGAAGACTGAGCACCTGGAAAAAGAGCTTATCCATTTTTGCTACAAAGAATAGAAACCAGTCCCTAGTAGAAGATCAGTTTACCTCAAGAATTGAGTGTCTGAAAGGAAAGAGAGAGGTTCAGAAAGGGAGAGGAAGAGAGAACCTCAGAGATTTATGGTAAAGGTAAACTTAGAAAATATACATGGAAGAGTTTATTAAACATTAAAAAATGACTAAACCAAGAAAAGGTAAAGATGACTTCATCAACCATGGCCATAGTAATGATAGTGGTGGTCACAGAGGCAGTGACCTAGGTAGACAATACATTTTGCCAAGGACAACAAGCTTATTGACCAGAAGAATTCTGAATTTGTAGTATATTTAGAATACCAAAGCGCCTTTTTAAACATTTCCCTGTGAGGACTATTAAAAAATGAAAGAATTACTATGTGTGAGACCAAGAAGCAAAATACTAGCATACTCTATAAATATTTGTCATATATATTAAAGATTAAGAACTAGAAACTTCTATAATATAACAGATGAGGGCAGAGAGTGGTAGTGGTGGTAAGTTTGTAGATGATCGTAAATATAGAAGGAATAAAATGCAAGTAATTGGAAGCAATAACAAAATAAATATAAAAAATCGAGACATGTTAATAACCTCCACCCTCCCTGCCCACCCCAAGTGCCACCACAAGTAATTAACAGAGGACTTCTCAAACTATGTATAAGTCCTCACTCTCCCTCCCTACTTCTGCACAGAGCCCCCTGGTAAAGGCCAACTTAGAAAATATACATGGAAGAATTGGTTGTTGTCCAGCCAGCATGATTCAGTGGTTGAGTGTCAACCTATAAACCAAGAGGTCACAGTTTGATTCCCAGTCAGGGGAATGCCCCAGTTGGGGGCTCGAACCTCAGTGTGGGGCATGCAGGAGACAGCTGATCAATGATTCCTTCTTATCACTGATGTTTCTATCTCTCTCTTCCTCTCGCTTCCTCTCTGAAATCAGTTAAAAAGTATATTTTAAAAAGAAGAAAATATACATGGACAAGCTTATTAAACATAAAAA